TGACTTTTTTCTTTCTATTTTTAAACATGATTGCAGCGGTTGGTGGGTCTAAAAGTTCCTTCTTCCCTTTAATTCTTTAAGTTTAAGGGCAAGTTTCCTCTACACAAACTCTGGTAAAATCAACTGAATAAGGCAAACCTTTTAATAGCTGACAGTTTGGGGCAATGTAAGTGGAAGTTTAAAAGATGATCCAATTCAAAATACTCATTTTGGGGGTAAATAAATTTTCCCACACTGTTTTGCAAGTGGAATTACATATTAGGTGCTGCAGGAATATTATAAAATTATCTTTTAGGAATAATGAAGAAAACCCAGAATATTGTGAATTTTCAAGCTTTACGAGGTTTGTGTCTGAAAACCACTTTTTAAGAAATACTACTACTGTCTTTCATATGGCAATAAGAAGCATGAGCTTTACAATGATATATCAAACACTGCTTTGATCTTGACAGTGGCCTTGTGAAGATTTATTTTTCTTTGTATAGCAGCAGCATTCCCCGCAGGCTGTTGATGCCGTGGCATTTACGCACTGATCTATTTTCTCTCTTTCGTAGGAGTTTCCCTTGGCAGTCATCCGAGGGCAGGAGTGCTACTGCGGCTACCCCACCGGGCGCTTCTCGCTGCATGACGGCACAGACGGGCTGCTCTGCAGCGGGACGCGCAACGCCAGCAGCACTGCCGAGGGAAAATACTGCCTGGTCTATCAGACACCGGTGCAAGGTACGAGCTCCAGCCTCTCTGTGCCAGGGCCAGACCCGCCACTGCTGGAAATAGCCCCTGCGCCCCTCCTGCGATGGGTAAAAGCAATCTAGCTTACAGCAGTCTTAGCCACAATGGTTAGTATCACCATACAGGCAGGAATTTAGGAAACAGCCCTTATCTAAACACACACACACACACCCCGCAATTACGCTTGTAAATACACATCTTTCCATTCTCTTGTGGAGCAGCACAGCCTCCTGCCACCCTGGAAAAATATAATTATTTTGCAAATGGAGAGAACAAGGCAGAGCCTGGGAAGGCACACCCCGAGCTATGCAGCACGCCGGGCAGCTGGGGACAAGGACCCCATACTCTGGGTCAGTCCTGCTCATTAAACGCACACCCAGCCCTCATGTTACACAGCCACCGAGGCAGCTCTGCAGACTCCAGCTTTGCTCTACCCATCATCCTCTGAAATACTCATCTGCATACATGTTCCACAGCCAGAAAATAAAGCCGAGTAAGGCTCCAATCCAGGAAACCATTTAGGTGGTACTAGCAACTTTATCCATGCACTGATTTGCACCGAGTTATGTGCAACTTCTCACAAGCTTGAAATTAAACAAATTAAGTGCTTTTTGGGATTGGTGCTAGGCTTTTTTCTCTGACACCCTTTTTTTTTTTCCCCCTCCATCCCTCAGTTCAGAGGTAGACTGCAGACACTAGCATGCGAAAAGATCATGCAAGAGGAACGCTTGCTTTCATGACATTGCTAGTACTTTCCACATCTGTGTGGATCAGTAGTAGCAGAAGACAGCCTCCTCTGGACAGTGCTGGCACTTGCTAGCCATTGCTTCATCTAGAGGCTGCTTTGAAGAATAAAGGGAGTAATTTCTAATTTATTTCCTGGCTTTTTTTTGAATCATCACAGAGGGTCAAGATTGGTTCTCATCCTATCCTTGCTTTTATTGGCATGCTAAGAAGTAAGGTTAGGATTTACAAAAGCATGTACGGACACCCGGGCTCTAGCCCCCAAGGGAGATAAACCCAACAGGGGCTCGTCACTGCCTTGGGCCCTTCGGAGAAGAATGACAGCCTGGAGGTTTAACTGAACGCCCGCTCCTTTCACTAGGAGGAGTTTCTCCTGGTTATAAAACTTGCAGTTTCCAGGTGTAATGGCACATTTAGGGTTTCATTGAAGAGCCAACCTGCCAGGCAAATGGCCATTAACAAACAGGCAACCAGGGGGTTTTATCACAACTTGCTAGCAAGTACAATGGTTTGCCACTGCTCTATCAAAAAAGCATTGCCTCACACAAAACCAGCAAAACTACTTCTGAGGCTAATCTCTTTGGCCCCTTATGGCTGGATTAATTTTGGGAAGTAGCTGACTCACAACTGGACTCAAATTGATATCCTATATTCGTAAGAGAGGGAAGAAAAGCAATAAACCCTGTAATCAAGAGCTGTCAGTAGAATTATTAAAAAGCCACAATGCTAACAATGAAATATCTTCTGTACTCGCAGACACCCGCTGCACAGACAGGAAATTCTTAACCACGAAATCCAAAGTGTTTGTTGCTTTGTCGAGCTTTCCTGGAGCTGGGAATACGTGGGCTCGCCATTTGATAGAACATGCCACAGGATACTACACGGGAAGCTATTACTTCGATGGAGCCCTCTACAACAAAGGTACTGTACCCAGAGGGACAGGACACTCAAAGCCCCTCCGAGGCACGAAGCTTCACTTACTCGCTCTGGCATCCTTCTGCTTGGAGCTAGCAAAGGCTGTCACTGTCAGCACATTTGGGAAAATTTAAACACGTGCCTGGAACGAGCGATCTCACGCGGTGCTGACAGCAGCAGGGATGGCTCCAGCAGCGTGCACAGCCTGACAGGCAGCTACTTTCAAAGACAACAGCCAGGCTCACATTTTGCAAAATTTGCACATCGCCTGCATTGGTGCTGCTGTGCACATGCACACGTGCAGCTCCTGTCTAAAAGACTAGTCCAAAAGACCAGCTGACTAAAAAAAGTTGGCTAAACCCTGAGGGTAAGACCCTTCAGTAGCACATGAAACATGAGGCTTAAATTTTTAAATGTTACTAATTATTCTGGAAAGACAGTATCCCGAGGTAGCACCATATTGAGCAAGCACCAAGCACTGCTCCTGTGCAAAACAGCCCTGTAGCAGCGAGGTGCCACACAGTCCTCCCCAGTGGGGAAAGCCTGGCTCCCAGTGCACACCCAGCTCAGCACCTGGGGCTCCAGCCAGGATAGGTGTGGAGAACACACAAGGAGGTGGTTCCCAACCAAGTCAGTAAGCTTTGCAGGTCAGTGGCAGGCCAGGAATAAAATTCAGGCCCTGATCCCAGGTCCTGGGCAATGGGTTTAATTGACTGGTACTTTCACAATAGTTTTACACCACTGTAAGTAATGACTTAGAGCATGAAAAGGCACAGACGCATGTATAATCAAGGGAAAAGCCAACAATCCTGTCTTGTAAAACAGGTTTTAAAGGAGAAAAAGACCACTGGAGAAGTAGAAGGACCATCTGTGTGAAAACACATGAAAGTGGCAAGACAGAGATCGAAATGTTCGACTCAGCGATCCTGTTGATAAGGAACCCGTACAAGTCGCTGATGGCGGAGTTCAACAGGAAATATGCCGGGCACCTGGGGTACGCCACCGACCGCAACTGGAAGAGCAAAGGTAACGCACCACCCCGACATGGGCTGGGGTGTCCGCTGCCGCTTCGGACACAGTTTGAAGCCCATCTGCTCGGCTTGCTGGGAAGGGAGTAACACACTGGGACCCGAGTGAGCACTGCAAACAAATTCAGCGGGACTTGAGTCCCACCACAGCCAAGATCTGTCCCAAAAGCACTCAGACCTGCACTTTCGGAGTGGTAATAGTCTCACTGTACATCCACCATCATGGACAGGAGGGTAGTGCAGCAGAGAAAACATGTCCAGGTACAATACCCCTGTGTACAGCCCATTTGCCAAGCTATGTGAGGTGAAGAAAATTTGCCCCTGCAGCATGTAATAGCTGTAAGAAATCTAATTTAAGATTTGGAGGATTCAATGGAGCATGACTTTTCCTGAAGGAAATTTTATAGCACTGCACAGGTGCTACTGCACTGCAGATAAATAAGGATAATAGCAATAAGGGGCCTTGAGATGCAGTGTTCCTTGAACACATGAAAAGGCTTCAGAACATGCCTGCCACACTTCATGCATTTGACTGGCAAGCTGGATGGTGTGACTGCAATTTCCCCACCAAATACACTGCGGTACTCAGAGCCTGCAGCAGAGAAGAGATTCGGCTGGCATTTCTCCTCATGCATGTTTTAGGCATTACAGCTGCAGCTTGGCAAACATGCAGCACAGGGCTGGGGGGTCGGGGGAAGCGTCCGCTGTCACAGCACATCTCTTTCCCAAGTTCACGTATCAGCTTTCATCAGTCACAACTCAAGACCTATTCATCAAAAACCAGACAAAATAGCCCTTAGAAAAGGGGAAAAACTCTGGAGGGAAAGGCTTTCCTGTACTGCAAACTACAAATTGTTACATTTCAGCCACAAATGCTCTTTGTCCAGCCCAAAAGCTTTACCAAGGACTATCTTGACCCTCAGAAAATTAAATTATCACAGACAGCAAATAGAGATTGAGGTGTCATTAATGCCCAAGGCAAAGGTGGAAAAATAATTCAGTAAATGTTGTCCCGGTGATCCTGGCGGGTGACCTTAAATCCCTCCCACGTGCCAGGAACAGAAGAATCTTCCCTATTAATCCTATTTCCTTATCCAGTCTCCCCGTAGCAGGCTGGTAAGCATGCAGAAAGATATGTTATTTGACAGATTTGGAAGTCAGGAACACCTTGGGCTCCAGCCGAGATCAGTGTCTTGATGCTGTATTTACATAATAAAACCGCTAATATATTACTACATAATTATTATATATTACTTGTTTACATATATATTAAAAAATAAACCTGTCTCTTTCTCAGTCTACATTTGAAATGGAGGTAAGAGGGTAGGAAAACCACAGAAGTGAAAGAGTCTGTTTGAAGTCACCTGGCAAAGCATTGCTTAAGCCACCGTCCAAGCGACACGTGCTGCCTTCCCCGCTCATACCCCTTCGCACTTCCAGGCAGCCTCTTCCCCTGGGGCATTCCGTCCTCCCCCAGCCCCGGCACGGAGCCGCCTGCCCAGTGCACACACCGCTCGGCTCCCATAGACAAGGGACCGTAAAGATGCACAGAAG